TTGAGACGCTGTACACATACCAAAAATCGGGTCCAATTGAAGAATTAATTTTTCTTACTTCCATTCAAATGATCATTAGATTTCTCTGAGAGGATTATCTGAATCAATTATCATGCGGTGTGGGGTATGCTAAGAGTGTTTTTTTCTACCCTCACATTTGCTCAGAAAACGGTCACGGCTAACAATGGTAACCGTTCAGGAGGTACGGACATGCCAAAAATCAGGTCGAACTGAAGACGTTTTTCCTTCCTTCCATTTAACTGATCGTTGGATGTCTTTAAGCGATTATCTGGATCACTTATCCTGTGGTATGGCATGTGCTAAGAGTAATTTTTCCACCCAGCCCCATCTACTCAGAAAACAGTCACGGGTAATGTTAACGTTAAGCAGGGTAAACACATACTGATAATCGGACCTGATTTGAGCATATTTACTCTTTTTCAATCAAAATCAACAAAGGCCCCATTGCCAGATGTCTCTAAAAGATTATCCAGAGTAATAATCCTGAGGTGTGTGGGATGTTAAGTGTGATTTTTTTTTCCACCCTGATCTGCTCGAAAGTCGTGTCTGACAATTGGAAACGTAGGGTACACACATACTGATAATCTCACCTATTTTGAGCATAATTCTTCTCTTCTGATCAAAGTAGGAAGAGGTCAGATTGTCAGATGTCTCGAAAAGATTATCCAGATTGATTATCATGTGGTGAAAGGTGTGTCCAGAGGGATTTGTCCTCCCCAACTTGCTCAGAAAAGCAGTCATAGCTGACAATGAAAAACATTAACATGGGTACACATGTACCGATAAACGGACTGATAATCTAATTTGAACATTATTCCTTTCTTCCCGTCAAAGGCCTGATTGTTGGATGTTTTTGAAAGATTATACAGACACATCCATCCAATCACTCCTAACACACCCGACACCTCAAGATGATCCTAACCTATTAAGCAGGGTTTTTTTTTCCCCACCACCAATCCGCTCCGAAAATGCACCGACAATGGTAACCATTGAGTAGTGTACACATACACTTACAATCTGACCTCATTTGAGCATTACTCTTCCCTTCCGATTAAACTCAGCATTTTCGGATGTTGAAGAATCATGATCCAGAGCGATTTTCCGGTGGTGTGGGATGTGTTGAAAGATTTTTCTGACGCTGATCTGCTCGGAAAACAGACGTGTTTTAACACGTTCAATATTTCCGATTTGTGTAGCGCTACTTTTACTGTGTGAAGATTGAAGCCAAAATTGTCCAAAATGATCACTGGTGTTAATTCCCAAAATCATTTTCGGATGTTCCCAGAATGGTTAAGACACCTGTGTGCAAGAGCTCTTTCACCTAAATGATAAGATGATATGAATTATAACAATGATTACTGTTGGATATTTATTTTCCAATTAAAAAAAAAAAAAAAAAATAATAGTGAATCACATTTTCCAAAGACGGCAAAAGTGTTTTAGTGGTTGATTTGGGGTAGAAAGAGAGGAGAATTCAGTTTTTCAAGAAAGCTCTGAAATAGAAATAGAGCGCCTTAAAGCACTTCCTCATGCTGGCTGCTCTCTGTCACATTTAAAGTCAGAGGGTCGGATGCATTTTTTAAGCACCCTAATTGATTTCAAAAACAGATGGTCTTGGATATCAACTAGACATGAAAGGAATTGTTTTCTAATCCAGTGTGTATTACAAGTGTCAGATTACATCGATTTTATTCCAGACCAAGCCACCGTATCGCAGGTAATTATGACGACCCATGTATTGGTCTGCTTCATTTCGCAACTTAAAACAACAGTGCCATAACTGAGACTTCCACACGATATAAATTTATTATTTGTTTGATTGCTGCTGTACCATGTGACTCCAATCCCTCGTGTCCACCCTCAATCCAAATCGAAAATTTCTGTGACGGCAACAAAAGATCAGATGGCTGCAAAGTGATCTCACGCACCTTTTCTTTTTCCTCTTTCAGTGGCCAAATTGGATTCATTGGATTTTGCCATTTTTCATTGACATGCGAATGATTCACCCAAATCGTTGCGCAAATGAAGCTCGTGGCGAGATTAAAATCAACGCGTGTTCACGAAGTATAAGCAAATTGTTTTTTTTGTTTGTTTTTTTTTTTAATCCAGAGAGCGAGAGTTTTTCTCCAAAAGATGGAAATAATGTGCGAGCATATTTATGTCATCATCTTTTCCCCTTAGTTCATTACTCATTTCAATTTGGGCCGAGAATTGGCACTGCAACTGAAAATTCGATCTCAATATGATTTCATCCAACAATGCTTTCTGCGACTAAAGTCCTTCAATTGTACTGAAGTTATCACTCAATTTAAAATCCCGATCATCAAATGAAGGGAGAATGGTGGAATCATGATGATGCTCTATGGCGTCGCGATCTCGGGGAATTTGGCACCACTGCTTTGAAAGCATTTCATTGACCACAGCATGCGAAATTGGCTTCATATCGCTCACTTTTGTTATGTGGGTTGCAATTTGTATT